CTCCTCTGCTTACCCGACGGACACTGTTACTCTGGTTACTTGGCATTTATCTTCCCTGCCGTGAGTACCTGACGGTGATCGCTACTCGGCTTACCCTGACGGCGACTGCTACTTGGCTCATCTGCCCTATCCTCTGGTTCTTGTGTCCCTCCTGTCATCTCACCTGCTGCTGGCTCACTTTCCTGTCCTCTGGTTCCTGCTGTTCACCTGTCTACTCACCTGCCCGTCCTGGTCCTCTGATCTTCCTGGTTCCTGCTACTCGCCTGCCTGCTTACCTGCCCATCCTATAACTGCCCCTGGATATATGCATAAATAAATAAATAAATAAAAAAAATAAATAAAAAAAAAATTAAAAAAAGGATATACTGTAACCCCAAAGCCAGCCTTTCTACTAATCTTACCCTTTGCAAGATTTGCAATTAAGGGTATTTAACATTAACTGAACCATTGTGACACAAAGTTACTTAACCCCAACCAAACTAAGATTTACCTACTCTGGCTTGGAGACGGTGCACGGTTTCGGGATCCAGATTGCCAAGCATCGACCAATGTTTTGCCTTTGGCCATCTACTCTACACAACGGGAAAGAAGAGAATGCTGTGCTCTAATTTCTCACCGAGACTTGGCTTTCCGACAAAGTCCCAGATTGAAGTGGAGTTTTTATTGCTGAAATGCTGGCCCTACTATCTAGCAAGAGAGCATAGTGCTGTGTTTCTGGCTGCTGTGTATGTTAGTCCAAGAGCTAATCCCCTGATGGCTCTCAGCAAACTCCACACGTCATCAGCACGCTAGAGACAACACACCCGCACCCTGGTGCTATATTTATTGCTGCGGGTGACTTTAACCAGAGCAATTTACGGACTATACTTCCCAAATATTACCAACATGTGAACATTCCCATCCGGGGCAAGAACACTCTGGATCATGTTTACAGTTACGGATCATGTTTACAGTAACATACGGGGTGCATTCAGGGCTGTGTACGCTCGGACACATTTCTTTGTTCCTGTATCCAGCTTACAGACAACAACTGAAACAAACAAACCCTGTCACCAAACAAATTAAACTCTGAACCCCAGAGACCGAAGGCACCCTGCAGGGCTGTTTTGCTCAGACAGAATGGGATGCGTTTAAAGCTGCAGCCACCTCAGAGGACTTTTCTGTCACCATACAGGATTATGCTGAGTATGTGACATTAGTACTTGCATTGACAACATTGTGCCCACCGTACAAGAGGTTTCCCAACCAGAAACCCTGAAAAATAGCAGGGCAGGAACGAGAAACAGGAAAATCATAAACAGGACCTAAAATTTGAGCTCTAGTAGAGAGAACCTTGTCATTGAAGAAATGTAAACATTTTTGACAAAGGGCAGAGTAGGACTCAACATAGGCAACCTGAGGAACATTCAGAACAGAATCAATTACCTTAAACACGAGGCTTGACAGTTCGACTGAATGATGTTAGAGAAATAATTTCTCTTAAGATTTTTCACAATTTTCTGATAACAATGCCAAGAGTCTCTTAGTATCTGAAGTGATACCTGTAATTTATCTTTTCTCCACCTGCGCTCAGCCCTGCAACACTCATGCCTGGCAGCGCGGGACATTCATTTTACCAGGATTCAAACTTAGCCCTAGGCCACCTAACCTTCAATGGCTGTCTTGGCCTCCTCTAAAGAATTTTCTTATGTCCATCTACAGGGTCAGTAATGTTTGAGTATGATAAGATCATCATCAGTATTATTCAAAAATGTAACATTAATTTAGACCGTGTCACATACCTCACTCCATTCCTTTCTTTTGATTTGTGTGCACGCCAGTTGAATACTGGGAACATGCCCCAGTAAAAGGGGTCTAATGAGGCTTATGAGCCTGGAGATGCTATACCCCCTGTAGGCGCTCCTGCAGGGACACATGCAGGTGTCCTTGGGGGTAGCAGAGGAGCAGATGCTGGACCACTCCCTGCAGGCACCCTGTATCTTGAGGAGAGAGACATTACACCAAAGAGAAAAAACCTAGAAGGTCTGCACCCCAATCTGACCAAACATATGCTGCAGCTGCGTCTGTATATGTGTCTCTGTCAGGTCCTGCAGAGACCTCTGAAGTGAAGAAGAGCCAGAAGAACAATTTTACCATCTATTAAGTGGTTACAAAAAAAACCTTCAACCTGTTTTATTTCGAAATGTTTAACCTGTACATATAAATTCATTTAGAATTTACAATTTTGTAATGTAATATATTTTATTTAATTAATTGTAAAAAGGGAAGAGTGTGCAGCATGATTAAAAATGACATCTTTTAACATATGCTAAATATAATTAAATAGGCTCAAACTTTTTTTTCCATCAGGACAACTCCCTACTCACCCCCACCTTGTAGGTCCAAACAGATGAAGCAACACCTCTAACAAATTTTTGATGCTCAGTAAAAGTGTATAAATATCAGTGTGATCTTTTGATTTATATTAAGGTACATGCGATGCCACCCATTGGTTTAGTTCTCTCGGACACTATGACATACACACGGAGGTGGCCAAGGTGGGGATGGGCACTTTTACAGCTGTTGGTGGCAACATTCTCTCAGGCTGAGGAGCTGGTGTGCCAGCAGAGAGGGGATCCTGAGAACCCCCAACTATATAAGGATGGGGACATTATACTGGGAGGAACCTTCTCTTTCCACAGCAGCTGGAAAGTCATACAGGATACCTACATGCACAAACCACTGCCACTGGAATGCACCAGGTAAAATACAGCAATGAAATAAATTTATATTTAAAAGAGAAAGTGGTATCAAACTCACTGATAAAAATTAAAAGTGGATTTTTTATTTTGAATATTAAAAAATTCAGTCTTATTAATGCCATCGAACAGTTTCATTTACTATTCTGTTTTTTGTAGTTTAAAATACTACAACTAGTACAACGTTTTAAAACTGTCTGCATCAAGTTTAAATTTAGGAAAGTTCCAGCTGGCCCAGGCCATAATTTTTACCATTGAGGAGATTAATAACAGCACAGACCTACTACCTAGCATCTCTCTGGGCTATAAAATCTATGATAATTGTGACTCTATGACCAAAAGTGTGAAGGTTGCACTGGCCCTGGCTAATGGTAATGAAGTTGTGTCTGTACCCACTGAGGCACCATGTACCAGACCTGGACAAGTGCAGGCCATTATGGGGGAGACCTCTTCCTCTCCTTGTGTGGCAATAGCTACTGTCATTGGACCCTTTCACATCCCAGAGGTGGACAAGATTATTAAATGTAAAAATATGTGTCAAAATAATTATTAATCTGCAATTAGACCAACTGTGTGAATGTTCTTTACCTTACATCTTGCTTGCACAAACACCACCATTACTATTCTGTTTTTTGTAGTTTAAAATACTACAACTAGTACAACGTTTTAAAACTGTCTGCATCAAGTTTAAATTTAGGAAAGTTCCAGCTGGCCCAGGCCATAATTTTTACCATTGAGGAGATTAATAACAGCACAGACCTACTACCTAGCATCTCTCTGGGCTATAAAATCTATGATAATTGTGACTCTATGACCAAAAGTGTGAAGGTTGCACTGGCCCTGGCTAATGGTAATGAAGTTGTGTCTGTACCCACTGAGGCACCATGTACCAGACCTGGACAAGTGCAGGCCATTATGGGGGAGACCTCTTCCTCTCCTTGTGTGGCAATAGCTACTGTCATTGGACCCTTTCACATCCCAGAGGTGGACAAGATTATTAAATGTAAAAATATGTGTCAAAATAATTATTAATCTGCAATTAGACCAACTGTGTGAATGTTCTTTACCTTACATCTTGATCTTGAGAGGTCATTTCTTTTTCTTGTAGATCAGTCACTTTGCCACCTGTGCTTGTCTCAGTGACAAAACCAAATACCCATCCTTCCTCAGAACAATACCCAGTGACAACTATCAGAGCAGAGCACTGGCCCAGTTGCTCAAGCACTTTGGTTGGACTTGGGTTGGAGCTATTAGAAGCAATAATGATTATGGCAATAATGGCATGACTACATTCACAGAAACTGCACAGCAGCTGGGCATCTGTCTGGAGTATTCTGTGTCTTTCCATAAAACAGATCCTTCAGATAAAATAAAAAAGATAATTGGCATTATCAACGCTTCCACCTCAAAGGTGATTGTAGCTTTTCTCTCATCCACGGATATGAATGTGCTATTACATGTGTTGTCTCAACACAACTTGACTGGGTACCAGTGGGTAGGAACTGAGTCATGGATCATGGATTCTGACATTGCAGAAAAGGATACACATCACATTCTGGATGGTGCCATAGGTCTGTCCATCCCCAAAGCACATGTCAGTGGCATGAGAGAGTTCATATTAGATGTGAAGCCATTAAATTCATCTGGTAGTGAATTGTTTACAGAGTTCTGGGAGAATTTATTTAACTGTAAGTTCAAACAGTCAAACTCATCAGCAGAGAATCAGAGAGAATGTACTGGACATGAAGATCTGACTGGAGTGCAAAACAGCTTTACTGATATGTCACTCATGCCTATATTTAACAATGTGTATAAAGGAGTGTATGCTGTGGCACATGCACTTCATATTATTCTTGGCTGTAATGAAACATGTAACTACAGTGTGCAGCTAGATCCACTCAAGGTGAGTTCAACTTTAAATCAATTCTACTTAGGCCTTGAAGTTGCAAATAAAAAAAGCTCAAATTTGTAAAATTAGTTAAAATAAGTATCTATCATGCTATTGAGCCAAGAATATTTAACCATAATTAACAAAATTAATAGCTATGTTCTTAGATTCTACAGCACATAAGAAAAATTTATTTCAAAACCAAGGAAGGAGATGAGGTTTACTTTGATGAGAATGGAGACCCGCCAGCAAAGTATGAAATTATAAACTGGCAGCCAACAGAAAATGGCATTGTGGACTTTGTCACAGTTGGTCTTTATGATGCATCTTTACCTGCAGACAAACCGCTGAGTCTGCAACATAATTCTTTCATATGGGCACAGAACTCACAACAGGTAAACTATCATGTCATCACTGTTGTCATTAATTATATTGTAATCATTCTAAATGTATCATTAATAGTGTATCACAATCTTTCAATTGCTGCTTTAATGTGCCTTAGATTTGTGTTACTGCCTATTTAGATTTGTTATTGCTCATCTACTTTATATTTCACTTGTATTGTGTGGCATTCATGTGGACAGCAAAATAAAAATTTCATTGTACAGGAAAACACGTTTCTTAACTGTGCATATGACAAATAAACATAACTTGTGGTTTCAGTACATCAAAACTAACAACAAATGTGCAAAAACAAAAGCTAAACAAAGTGAATGGCCATGCATGTTTCTCATAATCATGTTGTTCATGCAGGTTCCTGTGTCAGTTTGTAGTGAGAAATGTCCCCCAGGAACTCGCAAGGTTCTCCAGAAAGAAAAACCTGTCTGCTGCTATGACTGTATCAGATGTGCTGAAGGAGAAATAAGCAACATGACAGGTTAAATAATATTTAATTCAAGGCTTTGCACTTCACTTTGCCAGAAAACAATATTCTTAAAGTGGTCATGTTTACATGCCAATTTAAGAAACTGTGTGTGTGAGAAGGTTAAAGCCTGAATTAGAAGTAAAAATTGTGTAACTCTGGTGCATTCAAAATACTGCAGTATACTTTGTTTTTTTTTTTAGAAAAATGGAAAAAAATCCAGGAGTAGATGGGCGATCTTGTGTTCAACCATTTCATGCTCAGACCATCCTGGCTAAAATCCATGTGAAGGGAAGGAAAGGCATGTGGCATGATTTGTCAGCTTCGGTCACAATCTCACAAATTTTCTTATATGCATATGGCAATGATGCTGTTAAAAATAAAACTAAATTAGTAAAATAAAAAATAAAAATGAAAAAATCTATGAAACGATCTAAACGATTAATAATTATGCATACAACTGTCACCCGATTGTCAGTTAACTGTCTTGTTTGCACAGAAAGGATGAAAAATAGGGAACAAAAATTGGTCTACTATGCAAGTCTTACATCTGCTTAATATAATTTTTCAGATTCTATCACCTGTGAGCATTGCCACCCTGAGTCCTGGTCCAATGACAGAAGAGATGCCTGTGTAAAGAAGGAGGCAGAGTTTCTATCACATGAAGAAATTATGGGAGTACTGCTCACTGCAGCGGCCTTATTTGGAACATGGATGACTGCTGTTGTGGCAGCTATTTTCTTCACATACAGGACAACTCCTATTGTCAGGGCCAACAACTCTGAGCTGAGCTTCCTGCTGCTCTTCTCCTTGACTCTGTGTTTCCTGTGTTCTCTGACCTTCATCGGCCGGCCCTCTGAGTGGTCCTGCATGCTGCGACACACAGCATTCGGCATCACCTTTGTCCTCTGTATCTCTTGTGTTCTGGGGAAAACTATAGTGGTGTTAATGGCCTTCAGGGCTACACTTCCAGGCAGTAATGTGATGAAATGGTTTGGGCCTGCACAGCAGAGACTCAGTGTTGTGGCTTTCACTCTCATCCAGGTTGTTATATGTATCCTCTGGTTAACTATTTCTCCTCCTTTTCCATTTAAGAATTTTACCCAGTTCAAGGACAAAATCATCTTAGAGTGTGCTCTGGGATCAGCTGTAGGCTTTTGGGCTGTACTTGGGTACATAGGCCTTCTGGCCATCTTATGTTTTATTCTGGCTTTTCTTGCTCGGAAACTGCCTGATAACTTCAATGAGGCCAAACTGATCACCTTCAGCATGCTGATATTCTGTGCAGTCTGGATCACGTTTATTCCAGCATATGTCAGCTCTCCTGGGAAGTTCAGTGTTGCTGTAGAGATATTTGCTATTCTGGCCTCCAGTTTTGGACTACTCATTTGTACTTTTATTCCAAAATGTTATATTATCTTACTGAAACCAGAGAAGAATACAAAAAAAAAATATGATGGGGAAAGGAGCATCAAAATCATTCTGAAAAATTACAAAATATGGTGGCAAAGGTATTCTAGTGACATTATAATACGATTAGTCAATATGATAATAATTCGCATTGTACTGTAATCAGTGTCATTGCTGAACTCAGTGATATCAGACTGCATCATCACATCAAAAGAACATCGCCACCAAATGGCGAGTATAACATCTACATGAACACCAAGCATGGCGTGTACCTCAAACCTGAAATTGACTCTCTGTCTGACAGACAGGAAGCAGCAGGTGCGGCTGGGGAAAAAATCACATCCAGCACCTGGACAATTAGTACAGGTGCCCCTCAGGGATCTGTGCTCTCCGCTCTGCTGTTTTCACTCTACACCAACGACTGCATCTCGAAGGACCCCTCTGTCAAACTCCTGATGATACAACGGTCATTGGTCTCACCCGAGATGGTGACGAGTCAGCCTATAGATGGGAGATTGAGCAGCTGGTCCTGTGGTGTAGTCACAACAACCTGGAGCTGAACACGCTCAAAACAGTGGAGATGATAGTTGACTTCAGGAAGAACCCACCCACCTTACCCCCCCTCACCATATTTGGCAGCAATGTATCAGCAGTAAAGTCCTACAAGTTCCTGGGCTCCACTATCTCCCAGGACCTGAAGCGGTCGTCCAACATCAGCTCCACCATCAAAAAGGCACAGCAGAGGATGTACTTCCTGCACCAGCTCAGGAAGTTCGACCTGCCCCAGGAGCTGCTGATAAAGTTCTACAGAGGACTCATCAAGTCTGTTCTCTGCACCTACATCACTGTCTGGTGTGGCTCAGCAACCAAACAGTACAGGAACAGACACCAGCGAACAGTCAGGACTGCAGAAAAGATCACTGGTGCAAACCTGCCCTCCATAGAGGACCTGTACACCGCATGGGTCAAAAGAAGGGTGGAGAGGATCATTGCAGACCCCTCACACCCAGGACACAATCTGTTCGAACTCCTCCCCTCTGGACGGCATTTCAGGTCACTGTACGCCAAGACAACCACCATCTTCCCCCTGGCCATCACTCTGTTGAACACTTGACCCACGACAGAATGACTGGACAATAATCCTCAGTGCAATACCTTCCTCCAGTGCAACACCTGTAAATATACATTGTACAGATATACAGATCTGTACAGGTCTCTATTTTTAAGTACTCTATTTTTATTCCTATTTATCTCATTTCACAATGAGCATTCCTTTGTCTGAATTGTTTACTGCCTGTTGATACTGTTTAGTTTGTTATACTGCACACCCTTATGTTGGTTTACTGTTTACTTGCCCCTTGCTGTTGCCTTGCATGGGGATATGTACATGTACATTGAGAGCCACTGTACCCGAGTTACATTCCTCATGTGTCCAACACACCTGGACAATAAAGCTGATTCTGATTCTAATTGCAATTCTGATTCTTATTGTCAGTGGTTGGACAATTGAGCAGACCCTAATCCAAAACCAAATCTATTTACTAACCATAACCACCCTGGGCTCTGGGCATAACGTCAACCATCTTCAGATGTATTCAGTTTAGTTCAGTTCAGTTGTTTATTGTCACTTTCATCATGCATTTTCAGTATATATGAAAGCACGATACCATTCTCCCTTCATCAAAATGCTCAACACACATCATTCACGCTCTGTAACAGTCACCCTTCTAAAACAAAGTGAAACAATCCATACATTAAAACACAATGACAGATTAAAAGTCCAAAACTAGCATGGATATGGCAAGGTGCTAGATATGTTATATAATGTACTGATCTAACAACCTTGACTGCAGTGTTAGGCAGTTAGATTAAGTGCATGCGCAATTGTTCATTTCCTTCATTCCCTGGTACTAACCAATAGAATGGAGGGCAGCTTGTGTAGTATATTCATTTTCCTGATGGCCTAAGGCAGGGGGGGCCAAAACTCAAAGCACACTTTTAATAATGTAAAATGATTTCTTTTATTACTCTTGTTGTTTCCTTTTGAAATATACTACAACCTATACAACAACTTTAAACTGTTTGCATCAAGTTTGAATTTCAGAAAGTTACAGTATGCCCAGTGCAGCGTGTTCTTTCATGAAGAATAATCGGAATCAAATATCAATTTTCAAACATTTATTATCATAACTAAACAGACCATCGAATAAAGCAATTTACAGAGCTCTGGGTTCCATCTCGATCTGAAACCCTGACCTCAACAGCAAAACCATTCAACCTGACTACAGGAGGAGAAGGAACGCTGTCTCCTGTTTACCTGTACTAAAATGAACAACCTTCAGTGAGTGTGAAATAAAAAGAACTGAGATAGATATGTCCTTTGTATTTTTATTTCTTGCAAGAAACAGGAGCGGTCTACAACAGCACTCAGAGAGATCTGTTAGAAAGGCTTAAAGAACAGAGGCAACTCAGTTACATATATATGAGCTTTACACAAGGTTTGGAAGCATCAGAAGAAAGGAATGTGGACTGATAAAGTTCATGCACATGTGCTTTTCGTTAGACAGAGGTCCTTGTCCTGGTACAAAGAGATACTCAAATGACAGAGTAGATCTTTCAAGGACAGGTTACACTACATCTTGTCGCTGTGCAGAAAATCAGAAAGTTCATATATTTAGCGTGATAAACTTGAACTTATTCTGATGCACACTAAGTTACAGTTTAATGCATAAAGAGTAAAACCAAAAATTGCTATCCTATTGTTTTCTTACTAAGGACTGTTATTTTGAAAGAGACTTCTTGCTTGTCATTGACTCACTCTCCCTAGCTTCACTATGTCAGTCAGTGGCGCATGAATTTTTAAATTTAACTGACCCCTTAAATTGTATCCCCCTTCCTTTTCATTAAATAGTTTATGAATTCCACCAGGTAATAAATTGTTACTGGCTTTATACATAAACACTGCAGTCTTATATCTGTCGTAGTTAGAGTGGTAATGCCGACTAAATTAATTCAGACAAACCATTACAATTTAAAGGATCATTTAATATTACAATTATTCTGAATAGAGTAGTATTTAAACACATAATCTTGTAGTTAGGGAACAGAGAACAGAGATCAGAGAGCAGAGACTCTCCTCTTGCAATGGAATAGATAAAGCATAAGGAGATTGTCAGAGCACCAGTCAGTCAAATCAGTTGTTGTCTGTCCCGAGTCAGTCAGCGTCTTCCCCAGCCGGCTGGGTCCCCAAAAAGGTACATGGTCTACTGTTCACTGCCGCATGGTCTACCCTCTCTCTCTCCCAGGCTCACTCTTTTATCAGCAGCTTCCCTTATGCTGTTGCGTAAATTTCTGAACCTAGTTTCCTGTCTCCAGTTTCAGGAGACAACACCCTGAGATGTACTTCGAAAACAGGAAACATCTTGACCACTTACATAAACCCATTGTCCAACTCACATGAACTTAATGAACCCATAACCACTCAGCTCAAATAAGTACAAATAATGTCTATATGTGATGTACATACTGTTCTATTACATATTTCTTCTGGAATCTGATTTATTGCTAACCACCACACTATCACCCATTAATGGACCTGTATTTTGCTTGTCTGAACATCAATTTCCTGACCTGTTCCCATCCTGCCTGTATCTCGACCTTCATAGTCACAGTCCTGTCAGCCATTCTGACCCTGTTATCTGTTGCTGATGCCAAAGCAGTCATCTGTCTGCTGACTCTCTGCCTGCCTAGCTCCTGCTTGCTGTTTGCCTGGTTATTCTTCCTGCACCTGCTCCACCCTGCACACTCCCGTAAGCCTGCTGCTCTCCCTGAATAACCTATGCACTATTGAGTTGCTGCACAGAGTACAGTTCCTTCATCCTGACTCCTGTTACCTGTTGTTAATGCTAGATCTGTTTATCGCCCTGCTGGCTCCTCCCTGTCCACTCAGCCCTCACTGTGTGTTGAGGAGTGTTTTCTGTTGCTCTGGCCATTCACAGTTTTCAGTATTCTCCAGCATCACTGTAACCTGTTACGTGACCTGTGTTTGTCTGATTTGGATTTTTTGTTTGTCAGTGCCCTCTGGTTTTTAAGTCTGCTGCCCATCTGGTCTTTCTGACTTAGGGTTGACTGAGGCTGTTGCCTCACTGCCTTGGGTTTTTGAACACTGACGCTGCCTCTGCTCCCTGTCACACAGATTGATGCCACAATTTTTAACTGTTCCCAAATGGGTTGATGTCACCTCTGCTCCTGTTCCCGAATGGGTCAGTGGGGATGTTGACGCTGCCTATTCCTGTTTCCCAGAGGGTCGACACATACCTGTTTCTATTTTTTAGTTGGTCAACGCTGACTCTGATATTGTTCCTGAGTAGGTCAGCGAATATGTTGGCACTGCCCCTGCCCCCAAGTTGTTCAAAACTAATGCCACCTCTGGTTCTGTCCCCGAGGGGGGGCAACTGTCTCAAATCTTTGTCTGCTCCGGCCTCTGGGTGGGTCCACGATGACTTCCCTGCAATTAATGCCCCAATGGGTTGGTGAAGCCAAGACCACCACTTCTGTTCCTGTTCCCGAGCAGGCTGGCTGGGATACCGATGCAGCCTGTACTCCTATTCCCAATGGGGTCAACACAACACCTGACCTGATTCCTGAATGGGTCAAAATACTTTTGATCCTGTGTCTGAGTGGGTCAGCTGGGATGGTGATGCTGCCTGCCATAGGTTCCTGAGGGGTCCAGAACTATCCTGCTTCCTCGGTGGGTTGATGACGACACCACCACTCCAGTTCCTGTGTCCTGATTGGTCACCGTGACACCGCCCCAGGGCCCAATCCAGAGTGGGATGATGCTGTTCCTGTTTATGTGCGGGTCAATGAGGATGCTGACACCATCCTTATTCCTGTTCCCCAGGGGGGTCAATGATGTCAATGCCCCCTCAGTTCCTGTGCCCTGCTGAGTTGTCAAGGAGAATGATGCCACCACTCCATCTCCTGTTCATCCTCCCAAGAGGTCCCACCTCAGATGTTAGCCATCTAGGGGGCTCTGGTTGACTATGGAGGTCTTGTGAGAAGCGTTCTCCCTCTGTAGCACGGTGCTCACAACAGCAACTGTGATCATATCCCAATATTAGTCTAAGTCAGCTGAACATGTAAATAAGGCACTGTTTACTGACAAGATCAAAGTGGCCAAAAATCAATTACTGCAGGCTTAAAAAGAGTTCAAAAGGTTGTAAATATTATCAACTCTACATACAAAAACTTAATCTTATGTTATTTTTCAGTTTAAAATTTAAATAAAAAATTTGAAGAAAACAATTGCATCTTTGTAATGTAAAACATAATAGTTAATTAAATAAACATGTTCTTTAAAAAAGCAAAGTACAGAGTTTTTAAACATTCTTATCAAATGAAATAAATATCAAATATATTTTCTACAGCCTTAAACTTTTTTTTTCCAGTTTGGGCGCCTTGCTCTTGCCCCACCTTGTAGGTTGACAGAGATGAAACATTGATGCTTTTTTATGCTAATCAAAAATGTATAAATACCAGTACAAATGCCTAGTTTATTTGAAATTGCATATGATGCCACCCAGTGGTTTACCTCCCTTACACAGTATGATGCACACAAAGAGGTGGACAGTGTTGGGCTGGGCACTTTTACAGCTGTTGTTGGTGGTGTCTTTCTCTCAGGCTGAGGAAATGGTGTGCCGGCATAGAGGGGATCCTGAGAAACCCTTACTATCTAAAGATGGGGACATTGTATTGGGGGGAATCTTCTCTTTCCACAGCAGCTGGAAAGACAGACAGGATACCTACATGAACAAACCACTGCCACTGGAATGCACCAGGTAAATTACAATATAGAAATCTATTAATATTTAAAATATCTAGAGAAAAAACATTTAACAAACTGAGTATACGAGTAAAAATTACATCAGTTTTTGAAAAGTCACATATTCCCTGTTGTATGAATGTCGTCATATATTTTCACTTACTATTCAGTGGTTTCTTTTTCATGTATTACTATGTGTACAAATAGTAAAAACTGTCTGCATAAAGTTTGAGTTTCACAGACTTCCAGTATGCCCAGACTATGATTTTTGCCATTGAGGAGATTAATAA